GGCGGCGGGGAGGGGGAAAAAAATCGAGAAAACGGAGGAATGCACGCGACCAAGATGGCGCCGCATTGTGTGCACTCTAGATAGACAGGGACGGGCGCACGAAACAGGAATGGAAGCCGCGGGAGAATGGGGATAATTGCGTTGGAAATGCAGCAAGGCTCCTCCCCTTATTCAAACCTAAAGGCTGCAACTACAAGTGCCAAGCTGCTCACTTTACGGCGGGCACACATGACACGTTCGACCACTGACGACGCGGAATGCTCCGATACAGCGATACGCAGCGCTCCGCCTTTGCATCGCCACGCACGCATCCGTGCGATGATAGAGCTGTCGGAAAATCTGACCACCCCTAACTATCCGGTTGATCGATTTCAAGTTTCTCTTCGCTTTCGGAAGAGAACTGGTCCTGCCGGTTGATCGGATGCGTTTCCTGTTGCTTTCCATCGAAATGTACCCCTTTGAGAAGGTTCGCGACCTTGATCGGCCTTGCAGCGCGCCGACCGGAGAAAATCGAGTCGCTCGACACCCCCACCAAGTTTCTCGTATCTGATAAGGCTGATCTCGTATCTGATAACGCGTGCAACGTCCGAGTAATTCGCGTTCCCAATTTTAATTAAGCGCCGTCCGCGACATTAGCATACCCGAACGCTTTAGCTGGCCGGCTAATCGATTAATTCTGTAGATTCTATCAGTGATTTATTCCTCTCGGTCGGATGGCTTTCTACTGACTCATGAATCTAATTAATAGTAACTGTAAGCGCGGGCTTTATCGGTTGCGTGATCTTGCTCCCCCGAGGATACTCCAGCAACATTCCATGCAGCCACGCGACATCTACGAGCTGACGTGTTTATCAACCCAAGGATTTGCCAGTCATCGAAAGTGTTGAGTGACTTCTTTGCTAATAGCCACTCTTCTTAAACGTTCCCTCTCGCTTGCAAGCTCGGCGACTTATAAATACTCACCTGGGACTTAGATCGTCGCCCGGCAGTTATGCAAGTGTATCTATTTCTTGCTGTTCAGCGGACAGTACGTTTCTGTATAATTGATGACTATGAGATTATCGGTGAAAGTCGGCGAATTGCGAAAAAATGAAAATTATGCTGAGTTAGGGAAAAATGTTGGTTTGAGTTGAAACGGGAAATGTTCTTGTACCGATCCAAGATACCCTTGAGGGTTGCGGGAATTGCTAATATCCGTTACCCTCTGTGCAGTGATAGACATTTCAATGCCATCTGTTAGAGAGACCACGTATAACATTGATTTTGTCACATTTACCTACCCTAATCTAAACTGAGGCCATATTGCATTAAATGTAGAACGCTATAGAATGGCTATAGTCCCCGGTAGCGTAGAGATTATACGTTCGAAGTACAATGTTTATACTTAACGCGCCTTATTGTCTACATTGCATATCAATTTAAAGTGTTCTTGAATCTCAGCGTGTTCCGATTGGGCCTTGCGAACGCAGAAACTCAAGGAAACACGTACGTAGCTCGCAGATCACGTTTCTGTTAAGTGAATCAATAATTATATGGTATTATGTGCCATTAAAATGTGGCGAGTTGTTGGAATTAACGTCATATCAATGCTTCTCACGTGATGACACGTTGAATTTACTGTTCACTATGAAACATGAGAACGTCAGTTTGTTAGAAACTGTCATTACAACAGGAACAGCCATGATATGTTGAAGTTTTGAGAACTCGTCTTGCAATTAATATGAATTTTAAACTGCGCATTTCGTTGTTGTGATGTTTGGCTTTGTTCCAGTTATATAATCAGAATTCCAACAATGTTTGAATGGAGCTATGACGGTGTCAATGCTTCCATACCACGTAACTCGGGCCCAGAATGTGCATATTATATGACACCAGAGCACAGGATAATTGAAACATCGTTTGTGTCTATATTGATAGTAAGCCTTCTTGTGTGGGGTTACAAACGTCTGAAATTACCCAGTGAAGTGTCATACGCAGACCATGACCGAGTTGGCAAACGATTATTGTTGATAATGATGTCCCTAATATTAGGGATGGAAATCGGTTTCAAATTAACCAGCAGAACTGTTGTATATTTGTTTAATCCTTGTCACATAACAACAGCAGTACAGGTAAAATAGAGGAACAGAGTATCTTCAAAGTAAAGGAGTATGATTACACGTAAATCATAATTCTTTTTTATCTAATACAGCTATATTTGTTGGCATCTGCTCCTAGCCCAACTGTCACAAAGCTTTTCAGGATACACTTAAACTTTATGAATGGACCACTGTTAGCTTACTTGTTTCCAGAGACAGAATCTAGGAAAGTAAGTTAGCATTTTGTATTTTTGAAAAAATTATTCCAATTATTCATATTGACAATGGCATGCATTCTTCCAGATATTTGCTGATAAAGCATTGTACTACTTGCAGCATGGCTTGATGGTAGTAATACCATATTATTTGCTAAGGCTTGGAGGTAGTCATTATCATAATAATAGCTGTATAATGTATTGATACATATGCAAACATTGCAAATATATTTGAATGTTTCATTGTAGGTGTTTACAATGTTGAGCCTTTGTCTGATATGAGCTGGGTGGTTTTTAGTTATGGTTTAAATTTAGTGTATCATTTCTGGATTCTTCAGGCTCTTTCTTGGGTGTGTAGCATATTTTTTTTTTATCAAATATACTCATTTACCGTACTTTATTATATTACATATGTCATTTTACAGCCCATACAAGTGAATTTGAGCCATATGCTGTGTCCAGCAGTATTAGATCCCTTTGAAGGGCAGTATTATCGTTTATGGACAGTGGTTCATCAAGGACTATTATGTCCTTTACTATGTAAGCTATTTTGCTATACATCCAATTTCTTTTTAACTAAATTTCCACCAACGAAAGTAAAATCAAGTCTTGAATACCCACTTCCAAAAAAAAGAAACAAGTACGAAGAAAACAGAAAATTATGTGAAAGTACCTCAAGTACCTCAGGTAATGGACATACACACGTGAACTAGTTCACTTTGCGCCGATACATAGCAACGTGACCACCGCGAACATTTTACTACAATGAAGTGAGTACTTAAAATTCAAAAGAATGAGATCTGTTTATATATTAGTAATTATGTAAACACAAGTTACTTTGTGTTTGTATGAGTGTCTATAAACTGTGTAATTACTGCCTGTAAAAGATACAGGATCTTTTTCTGAAACGAACGTATTTGTAATTCTTTTTCAGATGTGTTAGATAAGCATATTGCAAGAAAAATAATATCTAGTCATTTATAAATTGAAAAGAATTGCATAACAACTTTTAATTAGGTATTATAACCGGGTGGTAATACGTTAAACCGCATAAGGTTTCATCTTATGAAACATTGATAGTCTCGATATATCGATAGATCGATAAATCGAATTCCTACCGTGTCTTTAAATAGAAGTATCTACGGGTCAGTTTCCTATTACAAATTTGTATTTTTTAATGGTGCAACCCTGTAGCAAATGAGATTTTTCATAGATTGTACTTTATTTTTCTTAATCGTTATGGAACCTACCTCACTATTTTCCATTTCTATTAAATTCCACATATATACTTATTTGCTTCAGGTATGATCTTCTCCCCTATGGTATGTTTTTTTAAAGACAGTTCAATACAATTATCCTGTGAATTGTATGATACATTCCGTGAAATTGTTCACTCAATTTTTTACTCTGACTGCCAGAAATTCTTTAGTCAGAATATATTGTCTTATGCCAAAATATAAATGAATGTGATGAAAATTAATATAGTAATATATAAATTAAGAAATCAGTTTAGATCACAAATTGATTAAAGTACACAAGACAAAAAGTGGATCAAATAAAAATACATCTGTGGTATAATACAATATTCAAACAAATTTGAATTCTTAATTGAAATTTATTTGTTTTATATCTTAAGTTCTTATATTACTGTGGCCTAATAGGGAACATTTGCTTATATTTGTTTCGACAAATATTACCTATTGAAAAAAATATACAATATTATTTTCAAAATTAAAAAAAAGTGACACAATTTGTCACCTAAAGATTTCGTGTTACAATTAACAATTGGGGCAAGAGAATAATTGATTATAGGCTTCCACCGAATAGTGTAACATTAATGGTTGGGCTTTAATTGTTTCCACCGTTTGCACAACCATTCTGTTAATTCAGAGCATATGTATCTCTATATAAAAGAATGCAAGCAATACACCAACAATACAATACGCGTCGATTGTATGTATAATAATTAAGGCCTCGTAAAATATCCAACTTAGAATCTCGATTGAGTTTTATAATAGCGATTGAAACGGAACTGGGCAACAGAAAACACTCAAACTAGATGCTGAATCGGTATTCAGTATACAGTAGAATCTGCAGGAAATGTATCAAGGATGTAATATTAAGTATTGTAAGTGTTTTAGTAGATCACAGTCTCATGGAAAAAATGTAGCAAGAAAGTTAGCATACATTATACTTTGACACAGAAAGAACTGTGCGTATACATTGCTTTTTCTAAACGTAGCTTTATTAATTTGCGAAGAATGATCGAAAAATGCATGAACAGCAGTTTGAGTGTATAGAAGATTTGTTATCATAATGGGCAGAATCTAATTTGATTTGAAGAGAATCATTGATACTTGGATATTTCCATTATCAGGTATTACGATCGTTAGAGTATCGATCTTATCAACATTGGCTACAGTTTAGACCATTATGATTTTAAGTCTTTCCTGATTTCGCATCCAATTCAAAATATATTTATACAGGGTGGAGAGTAATTCGTACTATAACCGATAAGGCAATGATTGTTCGCGTAAGAGGAATCAAAGGAACGTGGTACATTTATGTGAAAGATCATTAATTTTTCGATTGTACCACGAATAACAACCTACCCTTTATACAAGTTGCACAGTATTAAGGGATCGCATACTGTTACAACAGATTGCTATTGTTATATTTTTGTAAGCTACGGAGAGTATTGTTTCAACGGCGGTAGCAGTCATAGATGAATTTGAAATTGTGACGATTGATAGGGAAGGATTGAAACGGGAGAACGTTTGTACGAAATATTCACATGTAAATGTTTCAAATAAAAAAAGAAAGAAAAAGAAAGTCTCGTCACGACACGTGCCTCTTCCTCCTCGCCGCCTGAAGTATTCACTCGCATAAACTTCGTGGTATGCATTGTGCAACGATACAAACATTAAAGCATTAAAATAAAATAATTTATTTACAGAGCGATGTACAATTTTCCTTTTTTTTCTGTTTCTTTTCTTTTCTTTCAAAACACTCGTATCCCCGATATAAGAGAGTATATATCCAGCATACCGGTGTTCCAAGCTTAATTGTATTTTTTGACTAATTTACTCCTCCTCCTCCTAAACGATTGTACGGAACAGGTTTCCCAGGCAGCTGTATGATTCCCCATGACTCGTATGCGCGCTCGGACACGAATATTTACAAAATGTATGCATTTTACGCGAATGGTTGGAACTGTTTCACATGTACAATCTACATTTGCAACGGGCCGACGTTGTTCGAGTTGTAACGCTTAATTGCTATTAGTGTACGCGTCGCAACCGCATCGAGATTACGTTAAAAAGAATCATAATAAGGCACCGCTATACAACACATGTAATCTTCATATGTTTTCACAGAAACTTGACTTTCCGTTTTGTCGTCGTTCCGAAATGGGTATAAATTCTAAATCAGTCCGCGACCCGTGGTACATTTGCTACTTGAATAGATGAGCTCATCCGACATATACCAAACAAGATTTATACATATATATCTTTTTATCTCTCTTTGTATCCTTGATTGATAATCCTGTACAACAGTTTGGGGAGGAGAGAGTAATTTACAAACGCTACACTTAACAAGCACAATGACCATAATAAATATGTACATTACGCGTTATGCACACCTCTAAGACATGTCATCTTGTAAGTACAGACATTGCAGAACATGATTTACAATTTTCACACTCAATCCAACGCAACACTTTCCTAACGAACGCTAAATACATAAAGAGCATCGAGAACCTTTGGTTTCGCATTAAATGTACGTTATTGTACACTTATCACACAATCATAAATAATTCTTACGAACGAATCGTACACGGAACACAGCACGTAATAGGGGGAAAAAAAGGGAAACGAAATCTTGATATCGTGTAGATGAGTTCCACAGGTACATAATAGATTTTCTAAGATTATCTATTTGGATGTTTCAACGTGTAACGTAAGTTCCACTTTGACGGAGATGTCGGTGACTACTGAAGTTGCTGTTTCAGACATTGCTTTTCATAATTAAATGAATGGTAATTATGAACACTTCGAGTGGAACACCCTGTATACTGTTCAGTGGAATCATTGTAAACGATTTCACTACTTAAGCTCTATTGTACGGCATTTGAAAAATCAGTTCTTAATATTAGAAAACTGGTAATAATCTATAACGTGTATAAATATTAATAATAAATAAAAAAAAAATAATAATTAAGCGTAACGAATTTTCGCTAGAATGGCAAGTCGACCTTTCTCGCGGATCCTTCTAACAGCCTTAGGAAAAATAAAAAATAATTCGGACATCTACACGAATATCGTAAAAAAATACGCACACTAGTAAAAATAAAATAAATCACAGTTACTCTATTTATAATTATCGCGATATTACGCGAATGGCATAAAGATAATATGAATGGCAGACTTGTTATGCCATGGCAAGTGACTATCTTGGAAACAAGTTGAAATTGCCATTTCTTTGGCCAGAGATTTATACATATGAAGCATGTATTTATACAAGAACAACATGAATATCAATACTGTGTGGAAGAGTAAAGAATCTGTTAATTCTTAGTCCTATGTACATGCGCCGTAAACTTAAAATTAATCTATGTGACTGGAGAAACAATGAAATTCATCTGACTTATTTTCATTTGAGCGGCACGCATCTACATCGCGAAGGAACTTTCTCGTTGACAAATTATTTAAATGAAAATATCGATGAATACTTTCGTAAGTACCTACGTGTTAGAACTGAATGACTTTATAAAATGCATAGAACTTCTTTGCGTAGGCTAGTAATAGATGCATAGTGCCAGGAAAAATTGATTGATGTTCATTGCTGAGTAACTTCTGACTGTTGTGATTGTATAAAGCCCTGCTACAGATTTATCAATTTAAATGGAATGCTAATACTATTTACAATGTACTGACTGAATGAACGGGCACACATTTTTCATAAAGAGTATTGTACAGTTCATTAGTGTGCTAGTTCTACTTTATAGTAGACATTTTGGTATAATGCAGAGAAGCCTGCATCCAGATCTCACCAAACAGACTTGAAAAAACCTCTGACGACATTTCTCTACTAGAAGTAAAGTGTTAGCCATCTAGTGGTGGTCCTAAGTATACCATAGTTACCTCTGTATTTCCATATACAGCGGATACAGATGGATACAATCTTTTATCTGGCAACCCTATATATACAATTTCATCATTAACATTACTGAGAAGCGCTACTTTACTAAAAATACTATAGTTGTCAAACATACAAAACAGAAAGGGAACACTTCAAATATCCTAAAATATTCTACGAATGAAGTTTCAGTTAAAAGTATACTTTTGCCGTTTAACTGAAGGACTATACTATAACTAATCTATTTAATACTAAAAGTAGATCAAATATTGTGATACAGTACCTCTAAATGCCACTCCCAAAAATTCATAATTTTTTTCAAAAGATAGCGTGTTATCATCACAATCTAATATTACTCTAATCCTTTCCCCAGCCTGTTAATTATAAAATTGTACACCTTAAGGTATATCTTTTCACATTCTATGAATTTTCTTAGCTAAATGTAACTTACCTGGTACATGGGAGCATTATTAAGTAATGGATAATTCCCTTGTACATCTCCATTGTGTATTAGATGATTATCTACTAGATTCCATCCCCATGAATGCTCATCAGCCCCCACTAATGCCACGTACCCATGGCATAATAATGGTGCTTCTCGAGTTGCTATTCCTATAACTGCTACTGTGCCCAAAGGTCCTTCCCAAATAATTTCCCAAGCGTGTCTACCATGTCTGAAACCAATCTTACCCCTGCAAGCATCTGTGATTTGCGCCACAGGGTTCCTATAACATATTTGTTACCTTTTCAAGCGCTTGTTACTAAAACCAAGTATATTGTTTATCTTTTAAAGCTCACTCGTCAAGTATTCAATACTATGTAATCAACATTGAACTCATTAATAACTATTCATTACTCTACTGTCAATGACAGCTATTTTATTTACCTAACACGTTAATGCACGTTAATTATGTGATCTTAACTCTACCTGTGCATAGTGAATCCATTAGATTTAATATAAATATTTCGTGAGCAGTCAAGGGGATTCCACGCGTGATAAAATGCACGCAATTTGGATTTGTAGGTGGGCACCGATGACAATATATCGGAGCTGAGGGCTTCCTGGGCCAACTTTCGAATGCAATGTATCCTCCACGCATCATTGTTTTCGTCATTTAAAAATCTGTTCCATCGTTTGCAAACCAGCGCGCAATTTCTCAGCGTGTGCAGATCTAAATAAGAAAAAATCGCTTCTAAAACATGATCAGATGCTCGCAGTGCTATATCGTCCATTTTGCCGGTTCTGACCGAGTAAACGAGCAAAACACACACGCGCAAAACAACGCTCTGCGCTTCTGTGTAGGTCTCATATCAAACATAAATGCTGATTTCCATGGAAATTATTACAGTCGATAAAAAAGAGCATATGCTTTCCTACTTTTCATTTTCTAACATTCGTTTCAGTTATTTTAATTGATAAATAAACAATTCTTTGAAGGCTATTCTAGGCCTAATAGAGATGGCGATGACCCCATGAGGATACTATTATTCATTCCAAAGTACTGTAGATGTTATTATACGAATTAAACAATAACTTTTACATTTTCATTTCGAAGAATATTAACTTAATTATAATTCAATCAATTCTAATGACGTTATTCATGGAAATAAAGTATTCTGAACAGATGTCCACCGTGTCCCCATAAAAATTGAAATCCCTAGACGAATTGAATGCTCCTCCTCGTACAGTGAGGTTTGTGTTTATTTATTTAATTATTCACTTTGTAGAAATTCAAAATATACAGACTGCAACACTTGAGCCATAAAGTTCATTACGATTTTAAGGGTGCAAGAATTCTTTTACTCTGACCTATTAAACTCGTATAGCTTCCGGTATCTTCTTTCAATTAACATGTAATATATATCTCATATTTACATTAAAATCCGCCACTGTGTTAAGGCAAGGATGTTTAACACGTTGAACGCCGCACAATTTCATAAAGCAAAATACATATAATAGAAAAAAAGATATAATATGAAATCATTGGATTGAATTGCATTATTATTATTGCACGTTCATCAAGTTGAATGTCACCGTATTGGATAGCATTATTTATAACATAGAAATGTTTTCAAATAATCATCGTTTCATTAAGTGAACTATAGTAATTAAATTTGATTGGAGGTCACCGGTGACCCCCATGGCATTCAACGGGTTAAATTGGTGCCTGTCGACAGTCTAGTGACACTCCCCTCACGAGAAGTTACCCTCTCCATAACTACTTTTACCTGTTTCATTGAAAACCACATAGAACTGTTTATATACATAATTGTAGGATAAACATTGTAAGCTTATGGGGCTTGGTGTCACATATTCTAAATTACCGATTATTCTTTTTTAATTCAAGAGGTTTCTTGAGTGAGTGTTTCTCATGGGGTTTCATGGGGTTTCACGAGGGGACACGCAGGAACAATAGCAACAGCAGAAATATTGACTCTAGGATTTTGTTTTTACTTTTCAGAATTCGGAACTGAGTTAAATGTTTTCTTTATATAGAAAATCTAATTGTTATTATTAATTGTTCATTGCGCTATCTATTGTGAGAATGCTCAAACTGTTAGCCAAATAGTGTTAGGTTGTCTCCGTTAGGTAGCGCCAACTGATAGAGCGAGTTCAGGATCGATGAAGCGAACTGTTCAAATATTCATACTTGAGTTAGGTACCTACACATCCTAAGTTTGTTTCAATATTTTTGATTCTAATTCCTATCACTTATAGCGCTGCCATGCGAAACCAGTCGATATGACAGGATGTGCCAGGAAAATAGTAAGGGATACTGGTAACACCCCCGTGAGCGTGTGACAGAATTTTGCATTGCATGTTATGTCTATCCTATACCTGGTCTGTGTTTATAGTATTGCAGTATTAAAACATACTTGTGCCGTTGGCATTATTTGATAAATAAATCGTCTAGAAAGGTTGACATTGTAAAATGAGACCGGCCTGACTTTATTTTTACTTTCTAAAGAATATAAAATTGTAAAAATGTATTTGGTGTATGTTTTAATTAGTTTATTAGCCAGCTCATCGTCACTGGTTTGTGGGGTTAGTAAAATTTGAGATATATAATTATTGATAATAATGTTTATTTTGACGAAGGTACTTCGTAAAATTCTAGAGCGAACTAGATTACGATGGATGGTTGCAGTTAAGATTGTGGCATGCGTTTAATGATGAACCAGAGCCGATTTATATAGAAAGAGGAAACATCACAGTATCCAGTGTACGTAGTGGTGCTTCAGTTGTAGGACAAAATGGGTTGTTACCAGCTCATATAAATGAGTTAAAAAACCTTGCCAAACATGATGGCAAATATAGACTTAAGGCTGTAACTCGAACCTCTTCAGGAAATGAGATAACATTCTTAACTTCTGTACCTGCGGTAAGTGTATTGGTGTTTTTAGTTCTCTTGGTTATATTATTATGCTATTTATATTATTTTCTTTGCATGTAGTGTTATCTTCTGGGCTCAGACCTTGAAGATGTTATAACGGTATGGTTGGATAGCAGTGGCGAACCAATTGTTGTTAGTCAAACATCACCAGGTCCCTGTAGTACTGAGAATCCATTTACAAATATGTGGACTACAAATGTAGTTGTTAAGTACCCCGATGGAGGACCAGTTCCAGACACTGCCACTTATATTCAGAAATTGGAACGAGAGAGAGAAGCAAGAGAAAGGGGAGAGGCCAAAGACAATAGACCTTATCTTTCAAGATATGTGAGTTTTGTTTAGTTAAATAGAATGTGTAATATTATTCTTATTTGTGCTACATATTATTACTTCTACATTTCAGTGGATGTACATTTTCTTAGCATTTATTTTTATCGTTCTATCTGCTGCAACCAATCCCGAAGCTGCAGGAACATCAGGTGGCAGTGCCCAAAGACAGTGATGTAAAAACTGTATTGTTGCATTCAAGTGTGCATTGTGTCTTTAAGTGTGTTTGTGTGGGAGAAGTTTATTTATAAAGTTTACAATGTACTTTCTTAAATGCAATTGCAATGATTATGATTGTATGCTCCTCTAAATAAATTCTTTAACTTAACTAAATCTACTTTTATTTCTTTACATATGATCTTCACAAAAATAAATGACATATATTTATATTTCCATGCCTGAAATTTCTATTAAATACTAAATTAACTATTTCTTACATACAGAACAAACATTACATTGGAAACACTGAAAAAATTCTGTTCAAGCATTTACTGTCTAGTTTAAAGAAAACTGCTGTGACTATACACAAACAGATATAGTTCAATACACCAGGTGAGGTTCACAGGTGTACCAAGGGATCAATAATCCACCTCCCAATGATTCAGTCACAGGGCTCAGCACATTGCATTAGAGTGTTTACAACCTGCCCAGTTAGTCTAGGATGGCAGCATTTTCTCTGAATATTCAGAAGCACATGGAGCCTGGGCTGGTGACTTGTGGCAAATTTGATGGTTCCCACGCTTGCTTAGCAGCGGCAACGTTTGGTGGTAATATTTTAGTCCACAGTCCTCACAGACAGCCACAGATAAAGAGCAATGACTATGAGCAGTCTGATAGAAAATTATCATGGAGCGGAGAACTAGCGGATCTTCAAATAGGAACCGAGGTACAATTACCTTGGAAAGTCAACCACAAATTTATCATGTTACAAGGCTTGTAGTATTTTCAAATGATCAATATTTTGATACCTGTCATTAGATCACAGCGTTGTGCACTGGCCGTCTTAATGACGATGATAGAGACCTTCTTCTAATTGGAACAGCAAGTTACATTCTTGCCTTTAATATTGAGGATAATTCCGATGTTTTCTATAAAGAGGTACACAGAGTGCATACAATTTCTGATTAGTTGTTTAACCAGATCATAAATTAATCAATTTTTCTAAGTAGATGTCCGATGGTGCTAGATGTATTGTCATTGGCAAATTGGGCTGGCTTCCCAGACAAGTTGCAATCATTGGTGGGAATTGTTCAGTGGCTATCTTAGATTCACAAGGTACAGAAATATTCTGGACAGTGGTAGAAGGCATTGTTACATCCCTAGCTGTCCTTGATTTCGATGGAGATAATGAGAACGAGGTGGATCTTATTGAACATCCTTTGCCAGAACTTACCACCTAAACTTGTCAGTGCAAAGTTAATCTCACCTCTTTCAGCTAATCACTGGTACACAGGATTTCGAGATAAAGGTGTACAAAGAGGAAAATGTGCTCTGGGAAGCTAAAGAAACTGCTCCAGTTACCACCCTGACTGGACTCCCCAATAGAAAGTTCGTTTATTCAGTTGGAAACGGGACGTTGGGCGTTTACGAAATGGCGCAAAGATTGTGGCGCGTCAAAGTGAGTTCAATCGACGAACATTGATAACTAACACAATCACAACACTAATACAAGATTTCATGAATTTTTCAGTCGAAGCACAGAGTGGTAGTCACGAAAAGTTTCGACGTGAATGGGGACGGAATTCCGGAAATAATAACAGGCTGGAATAATGGCAAGGTCGACGCAAGGTCACCTAACAACGGGGAGGTGATCTTTAAAATTCAACTGTCCGCTGGTATCGCCGGAATCGTGGAAGCCGATTACAGGAGGATCGGCAAGCCTGACTTAGTTGTGGTATCCACCAATGGTGAAGGTACTGCATGCGAATCTCAACACTCCCAATTTATTAAAGGTTGATTAACAAGTTGACTGCTACAGTGGTCAATGAGCTTCCAAATTGCTGAAGAATTACAATAAGAAGCTCGATTTTAAATAAAAATATTTAGTAACATAAGTAGTTAGATCATAGCATAATATGACTACTTTAATACAAAATTATTAATAATTATTTTCATCAGTTGTCTTTGTTATTAAAGAATAGGTATTACTATTCAAAACGCTAGAAATTCTCGTGGCTCGACATGTTAACCAGTTAACTGTGTTTGACGAGTGTACACGTCATCTTAAAACTCTTAATGATGCTAACTTCTTCAACGATGGATTATTTATTTTTTGAGACAAACATGTAATTCTTCGTTCCGCTTTAGTTTTCCGTTAGGATATATTTCAAGTGTATTTGGCCTGCATTTAACGAGTACACACTTCATTATTTGATTTTATTGTGTGCACCAGGAGAGATTTTTCAAACTAAATTCCACACTTAACTGGTTAAACGAAGCTTCTTTTGATTACAGTTCGCGGTTACGGTTCTGGCTCTACAATGGATACCCCAGAGCCTGGAGAAGCTATGCGTGAACTGCTGGCCAAGAAGCAAGTTCTGCAGATGGAGCTGAGACAAAGGGCTGCGTCTGTTCCAAATATGTATCACAGCACCAAACTGGCGGTGACTTTGATGACGTCTAACGGTGCTGCGCGCGTTGTCCTTGCATCGGGACCAGGATTATTGGTAAACGACTACGCATCATTCCAATAAGACGTTCCCTTTGTTACCCAAAACAATGTATTCCAGATCCATTGCGCGATAGTTTTCACCGAGGGTGTATTCGACGGCGAGACATTAGTGGTTCACCCTCCTAGGCCGAAAGGGGAGTTAGAGATAGAATTACGACCCTCGAAGAACACGCCTGTGGACATACACGTAAAGGTGTGTGTCGGACCCAGCGGCGCGGATTTGATGCAGGTAGATAATAATAATATTAACCCTTTGCACTCGAAGCTTTTTTCATTCATATTACCAGCAACTCGAAGCAATTTCAGTGGAAAGATCATATTCACTTATAAGTGAATGATACGCGCATTAAAAGGAAAGTCATTGTTGTATGTTACTGTTTTTTAAATTAATTGTGGATACAAATGTTATAAATATGGAAAACAAAAAATTGTAAGATTAATATCCTATACACGATAGTTTTTACGATTTGTCTTTGTCCTTATGTTATGAACTGAAAATTATTTGCATTGTCTCCATAGCGGAGCCCTCGAGTGCAATGGGTTAATATTTAATAGTTAATAATAACATCTTTTGAATCTATTCTTCTCACCGGAGTCCTTTTTCCACTCAGGTATTCGAGATGACACGTCAGTTGCCCAGATTTTGCATGTACGAACTCATTGACAAGCCGGGACACGTTGCTGAGGACTTCGAGAAGAATTTCGTCATTGCCGAGGTAGATGTTGGTTCCGTTGGGAACATTTACGTCGAAATTATCCAGGGAATGATGAAACTTCTCGACTGAGTGAAATGGTTAACCCTTTGCACTCGGAAGTTTCTCACTGGAAATATTTAACGTGTTTTGACGAGGTAGATGATATTCTTTGAAACTAACTCGAAGGGAAATCACGAGTACATCGAGGAACAAAGTTGTTTCATTCCAATATTTCACATGCCGAGGCATTGTACAAAGTTCAACATTAAATATCAGATTTTACAGTTTTACTACGTCAAATTAAGTGCATTCATGTTTGGCTTTCGGGTGAGAGTCGTGTCCACTAGGAATTTGTTCCCAACAATCTTCTTTGTGCAATTATTAGAAAGATAATAAATGTTTCTCCGAGAAATTATTAAAGAAATTCATTTAGCACTAGGCAGATTGAATTGTAAATCAATTAAAGTCTAAACAGATGCTCTCTTGGAGTTTCTGTAGCAAAATTTTAAAAAGTCAATTGAACTGCTCGGTAGTTTTAGTGTTAAATACGTACCCTGTTCATGTTCCGGATCAATGGTCACCAGTTATTTTAATTCTTCAACTGACCAATTAAAATATATCGTGACCATTGATCCGGAACATGAACAGAGTACGTATTTAACCCTTTGCACTCGGATGATTTTCACTGGAAATATTCAACATTTTTCGATGAGATACAGACGAAACTAATTTAACGATAATTCACAGATAAATTAAGCAACAAAGCTATTTTATTTAAATATTTCACACAGCAATACAAAGATTCATTTAAAATACTAAATGTTCAACTTTATACTTTTGCTGTATCAAATCAAGTGGTGACTGAGAGTCACTTCTCGAGTGCAAAGGGTTAAAGAGACTCTTCCTTGGCACACATCAGTATCAATGTGCCTTTAGCTCCCTGATGAAGCCAGCTGCAATGCTGGCGAAACGTTGGGAATAAATTCCTAGTGGACACGGCTCTCATCCGAAAGCCAGAAATGAATGTAACACGCCAGGCCGTGAAAGTATCAAAACTACTATTCAAATTAAATAGTTATTAAGCGTCCTCCCGAGTGCAAAGGATTTAACCCTTTCGCGACGGCGCACCTGTACCATTCTTCGCTACTTTTCGCAACAGTGCGACTGACCATACTTTGCCAATTTTCGCGACGGCGCGACTGATCATACTTTGTCGTCGTTCACGAAAGCGCAAGTGAACCATACTTCGCCACCAACGTATTTATAGCTTTATTTTGAGTTCGCTATTGAAATAAAATAATAATATAAAAAAACCAATAAGTGACTGCCGTATCTAGACAGCGTCAGCCGCTGTAAAGTCATAAGTGACTGCCGTATATACACGGCACCCGTCGCGAAAGGGTTAAGAAGTGAACTGTCAGAGCTCCGACGAAAGTAACGTCCTTTCAGTTCGCAGAGAGGCCTCAAAGGATCGCCCTCTGGCTGAACCAGAGCCTGATCCTCCCCAACGAGTTTGAGCTCAAGGAAGACGGGCTAAACGCTGGGGGCATTGAAGCGTGGCTCAAAGGGATGAGAGACAATAGAATTCATTGTTTCAAAGCCGACATGACTGGGAAAGTGACCATTCAAACGGAAGATTCCACGTTCGCGGGGGACATTATTCAATCCCTGTCCCTGTATCTAGGCCTGAGAGAGTTGTCCTCGGAAGTCTCGTTCCCAGACGAAGAGAAAAAGCTCGTGGACGCTTTGGAACGCGTCAAAGGTGCGCTCGAAGCGTCGTGCTTCGTATTACGTAAATCTTAGCTGAACGAAGCAAATCCTGTTACAGATTTGAAGGAGATCGACGCGAGACTGCAGGCAGAGGCAGCCAGTGACACCACTCTGTTGAAGAACATCATAATTCGCTTGGAAGATGCTAGGATTCTCGAGAACGTCGAGGAAATGAGGAAGAGGTTGGTGCAGTTGAAGAACGTCAACGTGGATCTGATCAAGGAACACGAAATCCGAATGAAGAGTTACCGGGATTTGGCAGCGAACTTGAAGGAGCTGAATCTTGGCGTGCAGCGGGCAGCTAGGTTAAGAGGTGAGCGATTCTTTTCTTCGTTTCAGCGAATCGAGGGATTACTTAGTTCCTGGACTTGATTTTAGTCGGCAAGAATGCATCGAACACGGTGGCTCACTGTAGATCAGCCATCCAGGACAATAATCCGAAGGCGCTTTTATTGGCGATTAGACACGAATAAATCGTTACGTACCGATTTTTATTGTTACCGTTAGCACGGTAAGATATTTTACAGAGTACATCAGCCATCGTTACATACAGTTAAGTCTAATTGTCCCAGGGACCAAACTCGAGAGTGTATTTTTAATAAATTCTATCACAGGATATAGGTCCTTTCAAAACTCTTCAACCATTCGACATTGAAATAACCGAGGTTCTCTTTAACGGTTGGACTACGAACAACATTCACACGACTCGCGAGACGCTCAGCTATAAATAATACTCCTGCCAGCAAAACATTGTATAACATAGTTCTGTAATTTCCTCGAGAACTAAGGATTTATATAAACGTCTACCGACGCGTAGGATGCCATTTTCAGTTTCGCAGCGATTACAGTCATTACTGCCACCGGGACAGATATAATTATCCAGCTTCATGGAAACATCTAACTTCTCTCCGCGAATATCGACTTCAAGTTTCTTCCATTGAAGTCGCTCGGTTCGTTATGAAATAATTATATAGATACTGCTAGAAAAGTACAGCTGTTTTCTTCTTTTAGCTTAAAAATTCTTCCGAGTTATTCGTTAAATCTAACATTCATTTTCGGTTTCTTCTGCAAAAGACGTAGTATTCTGTGCAGTAATCAGTGGATCGTTCCTCTCACGGAGATGCTGAATCTTCTTTTGAGGGGCACCGGCGAGGGACGCCTCAGTGCGTTTAGTGTGCCGTCAGTGGACGCCCTCACCCTGAAGGAATTCGTCTGCTGTCCAGAATTGCCCGGCAATTCCGTCAACAGTTTGAAGACGTCGGTGAAAATGGCCATGACCTGTCGAATAAAAATAATCGGACCGGTTACTGCTATCGTTACATAACCAACGAGATTATCTATTCAGCCACTATGACGGGAGTATTTTTCTTCGCAGGCTACGTTCGAACATTATCACTTGTGCCGTTTTTTCTTTCCCACCCCTGAAGTGCTAGCGGCACGTGTATGGATATCGTGCGCGTCCCTCTGCCAATAGGCACACCGAATCCTCTCACTATTTATATACCAATTTAAACATTTTTTAATTCATATATAAACATATTCTCATTAATCTTTCAGTGAACGTCCATTAATCCGTTTCGTTGCTTGCCTTTTTACTTCTCGAATTTACCGTTTATTGTCAAACGAATAGAATGATCACGAACATTTCAAGTTTAACAATATCGAAAGTAGTACACGAAATAATTAATTCTTAGAAAATGGATGGATAGTTTGTTCTATAATGGAATAATACATACAAGGAAACAAATACGGAAACGGTTATCACTGAGTCAAAATAAATCATTCGTTGCTCGAGAGTCGAAGGTCTTTCCTTTCCAAAACGAAATTCTTCACTCGAACACAAGGGTTGAACACCGAAAGGTGAAACAATTTGACACGTCACGAGAAACCGGAACATCTCCCATGTTAAACTCTCCGCGACCCATGGAACTTTCTGCCTAAGTTTCTCCCTCTCTTTGCGAAACTTACTAAAAACTGTCGAAACAGTAACTCTATAACTTTATAAACTAATACCATTACCACCACAGTACATTAAAATTCCTCTTTCCACTCCAATTCACGCGATCCTCCCACAGGACCTCGGTCATCCCGATCATTAACACGTTCCTTTCAAAGAACATCATACATTACCAAACAAACTTGAAAATCAGTCATTCCAATCAATTGTAATGAATTATTTTCAAGCGACTCGAATCCAGTGACCACCGTGATCAACACACTGAACGACGATCGCCGTGAGACCTTCGACTATCGATTACCGGTTTACGGTGGTCACCCGGGCTAATTGATTGTGAAACATACGTTTAATTGCGGCACGCCGCGCGCGGCCCCCGATAAAAGCCACCGTACACATTGTACGCACCGATGTCGGCCCGATATCACTCTCTCGTCCAGCTCGCCCGCGATACAGATTTTGTTTACGACTTCTTGATCACGCGTAAACGCCATGACCGGTTTCCCGGCCGGAGTAAACAATCATATAGAAAAATAAGCGCGCGCGAGCGCGAGCGCGACCGCGCGCGGTCGATTGAGCGTCGGCCGACCGGAGAACTACGCTCTCTCCCTCTCTTCTACCCTACTTCCGCGAACAGAACGAAAGAAAGTTGTCGCGGGTGACGAGCGTCAACGCGTCAGCTTCCAATATTTCGGGCAATTCAAGCCGGTGACGCGGCGCTACGTCAATCGGCCGCATTTCGGGGCACGGAAACGCAGCCGCCGCGTCATCCGGACGAAGGGACTCGGGACACTTTCCCAATCTCTCGCTCGTCGGGACCGATCGTCGCCCTTTTCCTCGTTTCCCAGTGATCGAGAGTGCTCACGATCGTGAAAGGGGAGGATCGCACGAGTGGTTTTCCTTTTTATCGCTGTCTCTTGCTTCTGCGAGAGGATTTCGGAGTTCGGTCAATTCAGAACCTTCTTTGAGGGAAGTTTTACTAGTTTTCTTCTTTCATGATTGGTAGGTAGGATGAAAGAGAGGATAAGGATGATCTTTCGTCTCGGTGTGCGGATTGTGTGGAGTTCGGTTGATCTACAGGTGGATTTTTTCAAGAATGTTACGTTTCCTTGAAGGGATCGTTAAAGGGAAGCTTCTCTTCTAATTCTAGCCTGTTAAACTGCTGGATATAAATAGACGTGATAGTTATTTCGAAGGTAGACCAATGATCTAGTCGAAAGGCGTTTCGTGGGAGTTCGAGAGGAATAACGCAGCGAAGTTAGAGAAAAATGTTCCGTAGAGCGAGGTGATCAACTCTACCATGTTCAAGTTTTATTAAATTTCTCTAAGCTTTCGAACGTCACTTTCGAATCTGAGGAAAGTACCGAACGGTGCCCATGTTACCAACGATATCACCGAAACCATTCATTACGCTTGATTCTCGTCTCGGTGAATAAATACAAAATTAAATAAGAGTATTTGAAATCTGCAGATAAACGGAGGATCGCGCAGCGGAGTTAGTAAATCGATATCGACCGGAGATAATTACTTGCTCGACGGATTCCCTGACGGAGATCTCGTGGAACGAATGAGCCTCGATCTCCTCGGCCCTTTGCCGGCCCTCCGAGGTGGAAACCACCCTCTCGCCCGGCGTATAGGACAGGTCCGCCTTGTTCCCGATTAAGATCACCACTGGCGGCACCTTCCTGGTCCTCCTTGCGTGCGAGACCAAAAATCTGGAAGGAACGCGATCCGTTATCGGAATTAACGACCCATTCATTCAAGAACGATAATTCTATATACCGTCCCGGCGAGGGTGTTATCGGCTGTGTATCAGCCTTCGGCAATCGCCGACGCGAAACTAATTGGCTGACAAGGCCTCAGACGATCTTATTCCGCCATGTTCTATTTCCTTCAAAGAATCCGACCGATCTCGGACCTGTTCGGTGCTCGCGCTTCGTACGAAAGAAAAGAAAGCGCTCGCGTATTGTCTTCGTTCACGGCCGGCCGAGACGATTATGCCGCCAGACACAATATTTTTATCTTGGCCGACTGGCGGCCAAGGGGGAACGACCTTGACTGTCGAAATTCGTCGGTCTCCTCCGCGATCAAAACAAAGATACCGAATTATCCGTGGCATTTGTCGATGTTTTCTTTCGGCGATTCGTTTAACCTATTCGAATGACAGGTGTAACGGTGATAGTTAACCCTTTACACTCCGAAGCTTTTCACTAGAAAACCTTCGACATTTTCCGGTGACACATAGACGACACCATTTGAAACGAATTAGAAAACATACGTTGAGAAACAAAGCTATTTTATACACGTATTTCACATATTGATGCATTATACAGAACTTAACACTAGGTTTACGGGCATTTATTGTACACTTCATTCTATTATTCTTAAAAGAATTGATGCTCGTTTATTTAGATTGTGGAAACTGGAGATTTGATAGTAGGTAATTGGCGCGCATGTCAGTGTGATCGCATCAATCAAAATCGGTGTAAACATTTACAAAATAATATTTCTAAAATCCAATATGCGTCAATTTGACGCGTTCCGTAAACCTAGTGTTAATATTATATATAACGCTTTGTAATTTTGTTATATCAAATCAAATGGTGACTAGAGTCACCTCTCGAGTGCAAAGGGTTAAAACATCAATTGTACACCGTGTGTGTAATTGCTTTAACACTAGAATTACCCAAAGCGACGGTTTTAGTTTTCTCAGTTACAGTTATTGATGTTTTTGAAGTATTCAGTATACGAAGTGGCTTTGAAAATTAATAGTTCTACTTGAATATTATAAAAGATGTCTGAAGAATTTGAAAATAGATGTATCGCTACGATATTTGTAAGGATTATATATCAAATGTAGTGAATACTCGGTAGTTCTAGTGTTAAAGTTCATTCTCACCGAAGACGAGAGGTTTCGTCGAAGCTGACGCGGTCCGAGACAGAGTAGACGAGGATTATAGCGTCGGCTAATCGGAGTTTGAACTCGGTCGGGGGTGGCAGGAATCCCGGCGGGTCGGTCAGCTCCCACGAAGCGTCCAGGAAGTTGTCGACCTTGTAGATCCTCTCGGTGGTGCAATCGTATTCGCCGATGAACCGCTTTGTCGCGAATCTCACCGCCAGCGCTGTGAATTATTCAATCGTGCCGAGAAGATAAACGACAGACAAACGCGTTGATTACTAAGTTATTAGTAAGTAATAGCTTGTTTCAATGGTAGTTCGATAGATACTCTTCCATCAGGAATTTGTTCAACAGTTTCTATAACGACAGTATATCAAACGCAACGTGTATTGGATCAACTTCTTCTAATTTACCCATCTTCATTTGATCAACGATATTTTCGAAGTCGTTACAAAATCAGGTCTATACTTTTTCACTGATACTTCAAATATTCGGATATATCGATCATTGAAACGTCTATCACAAGAATACCATCTTGTTATAACAATTTGAAAGGATTATAAATATCTTAACTTTCCTCATGCAAAATACAAAATTTGAAAGAATTAAAAATATCTTTACCCTCCCCATTCAAAATACAAAACTTGAAAGAATTAAAAATATCTTAACTCTTCTCATGCAAAATACAAAATGTGAAAGGATTAAAAATATCTTTACTTTCCCCATGCAAAATACAAAATTTGAAAAGATTAAAAACATTACCCTCCCCATGCAAAATACAAAATTTGAAAGAATTAAAAATATCTTCACCCTCCCCATGCAAAATACAAAATTTGAACGAATTAAAAATATCCTAACTCTGCCCATGCAAAATACAAAATTCACATAGCAAACGTGTAACGTCGGTAACTAGTACGTTAAATCGAAAGGAAAGACGAGGGTTACGCTGTTATTACAAAATTCGTCGCCAGTTTACCAGTTTTACCGACTCCCTGTAGTCCCAGCAGGATAACCTTAATTAATTTCGGCTCCTTGCTGGTCAAGCCGAGGTTCCACGCGATCGGTGGGCTGATCCGTTTCTTCAGAGACGCCGCTGGTGGACTGAACCTCTCCATGACTTCGAAGTCACTGTTTTGCCGCCGGGGTGGCTCATCGATTATGAACCCTCTCCTGCACCCCATGATATTTAATAGACCCATTATTATACGTCCATCGGGCGCTGAGCCTCCCTTTTCTACGCCGGTCACTCTGTTTGATAAACACATCGATCGGTGACGTTTGTCCTTTCCACGAGGGTTGCTCAAACGAAATACTTTTAGCACGCAACGGTGTGTGCGTGAGTCCCCGGCAGCGATACAGTATTTTCAGGCGAGTGAATTCCCTTGCATCCTGCGTTGCATCCGCGTCTTCTCCGTCGCATCTTATTTTTCCAGCACGCTCGGCGAAGCTTCTCGCGCGTAGCCTCATCGAGGAGAATTAAATTTGAAAAGTCTTCGAACGTAGAATTAATCCTTTGAACTCTTATGCTCCAATATTGCACCAGTAATATTAAATATTTTAATGAATTTTAAGAAGACTACCCTAAAATTATTCGATTTTCCACACATCCAAATTTTGTGCTAAGAAGGAAAATAAAAGATCGAAGAAATGTTATAGCATTTCTAATTTTCACTAGAAATACTATAGAAATTAGTTGCAATTGCTGATAGATTACAAAACAACCTGGAGTGCCGCGGGTTAAAATATATTACATAATGATATGATATCTGAGATCTTAAGATTATTAGATCTTCCAAATATAAAGTTTGTACTGAGAAGGGAATTAAAGGTCTAAGAAATGTTATAACATTGTTAATTTTCAGTAGGACTACTATCAAAATTGGCAGGAGTTGCTGACATATCACAAAACTATCTGGAGTGCTAAGGGTAAATATTTTCAAGATTAATTCCTTTAGAGACTATAAGAATTGTTTTTATTAGATACGATGCACATATATAAATATATATGTATCTTCAACATCCCTTCTCTGATATTTATTTGTTATGTATGTTGTTTTAATTTACTGCGAGACATCTTGAATGAAATCCTTTTGTACTGTATATGATAGTTATTTTTTCATTTGCTTCTTTCATATTCGTTTATCATATTCCTTTTTGAATTTGAATGTGAAATCTCTGAGGTTTAAATTGGAAACTTAGGAAATGTAATTGGAACAATTTGCAATTACAACGGATACGTGAAATACATTCAATTATAATATACCGTACGCGCAATTTCACGGTCGAACGAATTAACCAAATTTCTTAACTCATTACGCTGTCCGAGGAAGTTTAATCAACGTTACCGGTAACTCTGATAAATTAGCTAAAATTAATCGCGCCGGCCACGTGAATTACCAGCAGGCCATGTACGCCAATAATTTTGCGTAACGCCGAGATAATCGCAATTATAGTAACCGGTTTTGCAACGGCCGTTTTATCGATCCAGAGTGTTTCTCGGATTACGCGTGTGTATATATTACACGGTAGGCCTGTATTCGTCACACGAGATATATCGTCGTGATTTACGCTAGACAACATTAACGCTGGAGATTGTAGATAAAAGAGCCGCCAAATTAATTCATGATCTCTTCTTTCATAATTAGCGGGAAGATACATAGATCCATCTCTGTCAAATTATTCACAGAGATGGTTCACCGTCGAATCGATTTAGCGACACGCAAACTGAATTATAAACGAATGAAAATGTCAGTAGCTGCATTCTTACTGACTCTATAAAAAGTAATGGTAGAAAATCAATTCGTCTGGCAGTTCTAGTGTTGAAGGCCGCAGCGTGCCGCAACGTGGATCGATCAACTCCGGCAATTCAGGTGTGAGAAATCGCTAAAGAAATCGATTCAGCTAGACGCCAACCGAATTACGAGTCAATAGAAATCTCGATAGATGTATTCCTAGAGTTTTCATAAAGGAAACTACAGAAATCTAAAAGATCAATCAGCTGCGACGATTGATGCGTGAATTACAGAGTTATATATCTGATGTAGTGACTGAATATGAATCGATCGACATCTCAATAGATGCATCTTCAATCTTCCCATAATAAGAAAACTCAAACAAATTCGACCGGCAGTTCTAGTATTAAAAGCTACCAGTTTCGACAATTGATACGCAAGCTACAGAACTATAGCTACTGACTTATAAATCAATTGGAATCCTATCATTTCGAATCCCTCAAACTTTCCGTGAAACCTCGAAAGGATCAGTTTAACCGGTAGTTCTAGCACTAAAAGCTACCATGTGTCACAAAGATCGACCAACTCCAACAATCTATAGCTAAGCTACAGAGCTACATCTACTAACTCATAAATCAAATAGAATCCTATCAATTCAAATCCCTCAAGCTTTCCGTAAAGAAGAAACCTCAAAACCATCAGTTTAACCTGTAGCCCATTAACCATCAGTTAAAAGCTACTACGTGCCGCAAAGAAGATCGACCAGCTCCGACAATCGATACCTAAGCTACAGAGCTACATCTGCCAACTTATAAATCAATTGAAACCCCTCAATCTTCCCGTAACAAGAAAACTCAACCAAATCAATTCGACCGGTAGTTCTATCGTTAAAAGCCGGCGCGTACCGCACCGAAGACCCACCAGCCGCAGCGCGCAGGGCACGAGTGCACGAAATTCCTTGCCCCCGTTTCCCCGCCGGTGCGGTGGCCGATGGTTCGCCAATGGCGCCAAGCGAACGTGAACTCGGCAAAGGTCGTTATACACGGTCCTAATCACAGATGCTCCGGTATCAGTGTGTCGTTAGGTCAGACATTTAATGGCCGGTTTCGCAATAAGCGGGCCATCCTCCTTGGACCGTGGAATAAAACCGGGTCTCAGCGAGCAGCCATGCACCCCGACGGGGCCTGATAGGGACCAGGCACCGGGACCGGGAAACCGGCACGCGTCTCTCCGCGCACGGCCGTTTCGTGCAGCACACTTTATGTAATGAGCTCCACAGAGACAGGCGGGCGGGCGGGCG